GTGATAGAAGATCTTGCTTTGGTGGTGACAATAACATGCTCCTATTTCGTTCTGAAGTTGGATCTTTCAAGACCTGTGGTTTGGACCAGCACTCCGAGCTTCCATGCTAGTACATAACACTAGTGTGATACTGAGCAGATTCATTTGGCAAGAAGAGATAGCAACAGTCTTCTTCTCACCTCCTCACTCAGTTAAAAATTGCTGCCACTCTTGGGCTAATTTGGGGTAAAGATAGTTAAGTTAAAGCACCCCAGAACCTGGAAGGAGAGGCTGTCATGTTTTATACTTTGCTTATTGTTGCATGCTGTTTTGGGAGCTTATATAAGCAGAAAGGTGGGGTATAAATTAAAAAAAATAAAGTAATAAATACTTGTTAAAAGGCACTTTAAAAAAATCAGCATAATTACTTGCACTGGCTGTGCAGCCCAAGGGCTTCCTGTAGCTTTTTTATTGGATTTCCACTGCTCTGTTCCATATATAATCTTGTAGGTTAGGTAGCTGTCACCTGCAGTCAGTTCAGAGTCTGTTTTGTGAGACTAGAATTAAATAATTCTTAGGCAATTCCACTGATTCCACTATGTTACACACACATGCACAGAATTTCCCTTGTTTCTTCCTGAAAACCAAGTGGGGAATAAACCCCTGAAATAGAGCAGGAAGATTACCTGATTAATCAGGAGCACCTTTAATTGTTTTTAATTAAAAAATCAGTTTCATCAATTGCAACCCTAATTTTTGTCTTGACTGAATTGATTATTTCTGTGGCAGGATGACTTCCTGCAACAACTTCAGCTTGCTCACCAGCCATGGATTTTGCCAACTGATACTGAAAGTGAAGAAGTGGAAGTGAATCGAGATAAATGTGAGTGATCAGTGCTGGGTTGATTGCATGGAGACTAAGTAGGTCATTTTAATGAAGTAATTTCAGATGTGTACTTCGTTGGCTTCTTATTTGTAATAGAATTCTTGTATTTGTTATCATTTACTTATGGAAATAAATGTCTGATTTTCTTGTGGGGAGCTCAGCCTGTAAGATTGAAAGTGGCCCCAAAAGGCATCTAACTTAATCATTTGTTCTCCATGCCACAAACCTGAACCTCCCTCTTTCTAAGCAAAGTGTCACCCATTCACAGAACAGGGATAAGAACTGTGCATCGTGACAAAAGTTTTCCCCCAACAAATGCGGTAAAACAGAGCAGGTGGTTCAAACAGTCTTTGAAAAATATATGACTTCAGTGTAGCATTAGCAGATTTAGTTCTAACTGACAAATATTTCATTACCTCTGGTGCAGAGATATAGTTCATAAACTCAGGTGTATGGTTCTGCTGGCGATAAACACAAGATAGAGGTCATACATTTAAATCACACAGATTTAGTCAAGTAGCATGTGCGAATTTATCTCAGTGTGCAGAGGCTACAAGAAATTATACATGGTGATACAGTAAACCTAAATAAGATAGGAGGAAATAGGAATTATTCTGACAATAGCATTTGTTAAAAAAAAAAAAGTCACAATAGCTTGTGATATGAAAGGGAGAAAAATGTGTGAGTTTCTAAGCTATTTTAGATGTTAAAAGCTATGAAGGAACGTGCTGTTTAACCAGGTACTCATTAGCACCTTGTCAGTGGAATTGGAACCATCTAAACATGACTTGTTGAATAAAAAAACCCTGTCAGTTTTGTGGAAAAAACCTAATGCTGAGTGGAATTCTGCATAACGCTCAGGTGGTAGCAGGAGTTGTGAAACTAAGCAGGGACTGGGTTCAGATTCCTCCAGAGAATAGCAGAGCTGTAGGCAAGACTGGAAAGTTTTGGGTTTTTTTTAAACCTTTCTAGAATGGTAAATTCCTTCCATACTGTGCTAAGACACAGTCATTACATGGACTTGTGGGTGATTTTAGAAATACATATGGAACGGAAAAATATTTTTAACTAAATTAAAAAATTATACAGATATGATAAAAATCACCAGGTAAATGTTTTAAACGTATCCTGTCTATTGGAAGCATCACAATATAAATTTGGGTGAGCAGATAAAACTAAACGAGATACATTAGCAAGTGTGTCCACAAGGTATGGTTAAAAAGTCGAGATGATGGCCATGTCAGCAAGATCAAAATTCTAACTGTGTTTTAGGTATCAAATTTGCATTAGCTTAGTGTGATATCAGAAGCCTAGATCTTAGTTTATTGTTGTCAAATCATGGGTATTGCCCAAAGTAAATGTTTCCTTGCTAATTTTAACAACTTTCCAAATAGGAGGAACATAAGCAAGAAAGAATAAGCTGTATTTGTCAGCATCGTTCACATTCACTAGGATAAGTAGACCATTTGTCTTTGCTAGTAACAACCATTATGGCCTTTGGTTTGATTCTATATTTTTTGGTTTTATTTAATTATTTCCATTTTTTTCTTGTTTTTGTAAATATAAAAAGTAAAAATACTGTGATTTTATTTTATTTTTATGGCTGTTGAGAGTAGCTCTGGTGGTATAAATAAATATAATCACAGAATATGCCTGGCAGAAAAGCTTCTTCCTTCCTCAGTACATACAGTCTACCACTGTAGAATTACTTTTAGTTTCAAGAGAACATACCAAATAGAGCTTTATGTTATTATTAGAATTACAACTTTATGCCAGTACATGCTGTTTAGTATTTATCTAAAATTTCAATTGGTTTATCAGAAATGCTTGAGATAAAAAATAGACAATAAAAATAAGAATATACAGTAAGGAAAGTAGAGTTTTACAGTAAATATTTGCATTTCAGAACTACCTAATTTTGTTACCATTCCTATTTCAGACCAACCTATTGATTTATAATTACAAAATCTGTTTCTTGCTGTCATGAACACAAAACCTGTTTACTCTAGCTTGAACAAAAGGCAGAGAGGAGTAAAACCTCAGTTAAAATAACAGCTACCTTCTTACTTTTAAGGCTGCTATAGTCTTGAATCTTGATTTTAGCCCATATATCAATTTTCATCGTAGATATTTTATTTATTTAATTGGAGGTCACTTGAAATAGGCAGTTCATCGAAAGAGAACAAACATTGTTTGATCTGAGCAATATTGTACTGTGTGTGACAACTGAGAATGGTAAATTGGGTAAAGGAATAAGCCTTTTAAAAATAATTATATGGCTAATAGCAGCCATCTGCTTTTGGAATGCAGTTGCTGTAGCCAAGCTTACAAGTGAAGGGCAAATCCTGGAAAATGCAGGCTGCCAACATCCAGGTGTTGAAATGTCTGTAATGCAGAGAGTCAGTAAAACTCCTGGCAGAATTTCTAATGCCAATTCCCTGTGCACGCTGCAAGTAAAGGTCTTAGCCATATACCAAAAATGCTAGAGAAAGTTAATAAATGAGACACAAATCTGCATGGGCATTATATATGTGATTTAGTGTCAAGAGGAATGAAAGTTCATAATTTATGGTTGAGAACAGAAGAGCAGTGGAATTAATCTTTGCAATAACAGGTGTTCTTTGACTCAGCTTTCAATCTATTGAATACAGCAAGTACTACATTCTTCAATTTCAAGATAATAGCAACACCAGTATAAAGCTATTTTGGATGTGGAAATCTTTTTTAGCAAGTAAAACAGGTTTAAAAAAAAAAAAAAAATGTTATAGTAGCCTCAAAACTATAGATTCTTTTAAAATTATTTGCCCACCTACATTAAATAGCTTTTTTTATTAGAAATCTTTAATTAGTTAATATGTGTAATTATTTTTAAACTGGGAAATTAAGTTCTTAATTCAAAGTTCTGTGAAAAAGTTACCAATAAAATAACCTCCAAATGAAGAATGATGAAAGCAACGTTGCTCCATAAGCTCTGCCCCTTTGGGGTATGCGTACGATGTTGCATCACACGCAGAAGAGGAGCAGGGCTTGCATTCCAATGCTACAACACTAGTTTTATCACACTGACTCCCCTTGCCACTCCCATGGACCCTGCTGAAGCATCCTCCATTTCCGAAGGGTACATAGCACTGAAAGTTGTAGAACCTGCTTTTCTCTTAAGGGGAATATTCTCCTCCTTAGAAATCACATTTGTTTATGCTGTTAATTATTGTAAATTAGCAGAATCCAGTTGATTGCAGCAGGTATTGTAATGGTACGTGGGAAAGACCTTGGGAGACGGGGAAGAGATAAGAGACTGGGGAACAGTCAGATAAGAGACAGCATAGCCCACAGCTGCATAGTGGATGGAGCAAGAGGCTCAGAAAGGACCCTCCCTAAGTTCTTGGGTTATAAAGGTGAAGGCGGGAGAATCGTACTTTCCGATTTGCAAGGTTCTATTAATGTAGCTTTACAATAATATAGATTTAGTTTATCTGGGTGTGTTTCCTGTCTGGTCTACCTGGTAAGTGTGTCAGGTATGAATGTAATAAATAAATAAATGTGCTAGAACAAAGGAAGCAGAATCAAAAGCACAAAATATACACATAGTGCTTTATTAGGACCAAGGCCAACCACAAGATTTCAGAATCAACTGAGGCTACCCAATTTGATTCAGGGCTGAATCATCTTGATTGGTAAATCAGAAACTGTATGTTCTCCATTGCTGTTGAAAATATGCTAATGGCTGTTTGCCTTTTTCAGCTGAATTGGGTAAAATGTGCAGGTATGATAGCCCTTTCTGAGGGAAACAAGATCGCTGGATATGGGCTTCTTTTCTAAAAAGCTTAAATGAGGACTATATTTTGGATTTGAGGCTCAGATTCATGTTGATTACTAGTGCTGTAGTTTCACCTAGCCAATTCTGAGATTGCTGCCAGAAGGCGATCCACAAACTGTCCTGTGCAGCATATGCCAGGCTGGCAAAATCTGAATTTTCATTTTACTTTTTTTTGTATGAAAAATAAAATTGTCTTTTGATGCCCTGCAAACCATTTAAGATTCAGTTAACAGGACTGAACTGGGTTAATGGGAATATGCTCAGCACATAAATGGTACTTCTTCCTATTACTTACCATGCTTAAAATGAGTGGGGTGGCATCAGAGGGTTGCAATGATTTCCATGGAGGAAGAAGGAAGGGCAGATAAATACGTGACACTCTCACAAGGGCTGACAAACAACTGCTTCAAAGGCATTTTGATGATTGATTGATTGATTGATTGATTGATT